CTGTAATGAGTGGGAGGCTATAAGGGCGATCGTTAGCAAAATGGTGGCAACGTCGCACCTGAACCGTTTATAGAACTGAACGGTTCTAGGTGAAGTAATGTTTTCATATGGAAATACACACTTCAACTCATTTCGTTCCATCTGCTTTCGTTCAGTCGTATGGGTGGAACGGTCATTGATTATTTGCGCTCGTTGAACTGTTTTCGTTGTAAAATATTGACTCACCTTTCAAAATCCTTTTGTGATTGCCTCCATAATGCTTTCGGTTCGTTTCTATCCATGCACATACAGAAGAAGATGGGAGGGAACCTCTGAATAACACTACACAGTGTCTCTGCGTATCTCCCCAGGCCTTTCTGTGTTCAAAGTTTTTTTTCACGTGTTTTTCAAATGTTTGCCATCCAAAGTAAATTTTTTGACGGAATGAGCTCCACACTTTTGTTCGCTTTATTTTCTTCTCTTCTCAGAACAGAACACACTTCCCGTTCAGTTTGTATGGACATTCTGGTGTGATTCAAGTCATTACGTTACAGAAATCCCAATTCTGCTCAGCGACTTTTTTAACTATACGAAAAAGCGGACTTTGCTTCCTTTTCCCCTTTTTTTCTCTCTTTGCTTTCTCTTCGATTGCTTTTATCCATTAGTGCCAGAAGGTACGCGTAAGCGACCCTGAGCCAGGAACGTAGGATTTTTCGCCAAAGCCTATAGGGACATCACTTACCCTGCTCCTTCCCTCTGCGCTGCCGAAGGTAGGAGATACTCTCCCTGACCGTTTTGGTAAAGTAAAGACTATGCAGTGGTCCCGAATGCCTCACCAGATTCACCCAGTATAGTACTCTAGGGCTGAAAACTAAAAAAAAAACAGATGTTTCGTTATACTAACTGGTGAGCCGACCTTTCAGAACCAGTGTAACATGAGGTTAGTTTAGACGCCGACGTAGTTGGAGGAGGGGAGGGGGGGGGGGGGGCTAACGAAAGTTGGGGGACCACTTTGCAGCGCTTTTGTATCCCTTCTCCTAAGCAAGACTTATGGTTAGAGGAGATTACGTCTTCTTCACGACAGTATCTCCGGAAACCTCGGCATCTCACCACTCTGGTCGTCTACACTTCAAGCGTAAGCCGTGGTCAGGAACACAAAGGCACGGGCGAGTGCCTCGTTCGTGCTCAGGTCAGCATTGTTTGAGAATTGACTCTTCCGGCGTGTGAATTGTGGAACAGGCGCGATACATATGGTTTAGAGGAGAGGAGTTTCGGAAAGTCGGAGATTAGGATCAGTGACGAATTAATTTCGCCGATTTCCCTGGTCGATTCCTACCAGGTTGTCAGTCCTATTCAGTCGCTGGAGAGGGGGGCGTTATCTGCGGTGGGAGAACTAACTTATGGTGATAGGATGAGGAACAAAGGGGTTTGCACCGCAGCCATAGTAAAGCACCGATAAGGTAGAGCGCTCCGGTGATGAGTGCAAATCGGGTGGTCTTATTTTGCAGAAAACTCCCGCGACATAATGGTGTGCTTTGGTTGGGCGGGATCGACCGAATCGATTTGCACCTTTTCTATTCTAGGATTCTTCGATTAGTTGACGGATCTACGCTCGTCCGGTCCTTCCTTGGGTGGTCATCCTCCTGAATCGGCGAACCACCCTTCCACCCTAACATCCTCTCCTAGTGACCGTCTGTTCACTCCACCGACAACCTACCATTTAAGTCCCCCATGCATAGACAGTCTTTTTTCAACATCTTTATTTCCTAACACACAAGAGAAAGGGAGAGACACACACTTTATTGTAAAATTTCAAAGGCTTGTTGTTGGGCCTCGACTCTCTTGGCTAGTCCGGACTGTCGGATTCCAGCGCCACCCTCCTGTGTGACGTCGAGGCTTTGAGACGCTTCGTAGCATGGGGGTGGGCGTATGACCTTCCCAATCTTCGAACCTGCTGTCGACGGGCGTACGCCCACGAGCGTGGCCTGCGCCGACACGGAGGGCACACTGCCTGGAATAAACTTTTCTACTACATCCAGCACTGCGTTGAACCGAAAGACTTCGGGCATTGTAACCACCACTAGCGGGCGTTGACTTCCATGCCATCGCCTGGGCAGCACTCCAACTCCTCATCGCCAGGGTCCCTAAGGTGGGGGGAGAGGGAGGGCAACGTGACTTAGATACCCGGTGGGCGTGGCCAAAATAGGGCGAGGGCTTGACGTGGACGGATATAATTAGGCTCCAGAACGTTTACCTTGTAAACGGTGCTCCCGTCTAATATCTATTGCGGCACAAATTTGGGAAACACCGGTCCATTTCGAAGCCTTGCCCCTGTGGCCACGCCCACCCGGGTATCTCTAAGTGCACGCACCCGAGAGGGAGAGATACAGCACTGTAGCTAATCCACCAGAGTTTCTTTGCATGAGTTCGTATATCATCCTGATTGCTAGCTGACGAGTTCGGTAGACCGAGCGGAATGAAAATTTATTGAGAATCACTACTCTTATATACTCTGGTACCACGTCTATCAACTATTATCTTCTCCATTTTCTATCTCGGTCGTACGCCCATTCTTGGGTGGTTATCTCCTAAATCGGTGAACAACCCACATTATCGCGATTTTGCGATTCGCCGACTACGGACCGATACATATAGTCCCCGTATCTCATAAAGCGGACAGTTAACGCGGTCTTCTGATTATGACCTTTTTCACTATGAGATCCCCACTTGCCCATTCGCAGGCACCTGGGGATAGAGAAAACCGCGCAACATACGCAGGAAAAGGGAAATGAGCTGGTTGCCAAGGAATCGAACTACTCTGAAAATACTCCCCAGGGGAATATTTCGTTTTGCCCACTCTAACACTCCATTGATCGCCCTTCTTCACATACAAGCTTACCCGGTTCAGGACATGTCTGTTCGTGTTTTTAACTGGTTCTAACGTGATACTTAGGTTTTTACTTTTTCAAGGATCTATGTTAATGGAGTGTGACGACGTGACGGTATGAATACTAGTCATGACCATATTTTCGATCAGATCAAATTCAAACTTGATGATGAAACGATCGACCCGGAGAAGGTGCGCACCTTACAATTTGCTCATATGAATGTTTTTTACATTAATATGATGAAAATCGTATTACTTTTTCAGCGATCGTTTTGGGTTTTGTTGTCGTCTTTAGTATTATTTGTAGTATGGATAGTTTTCCTCACATATTATTTATCCCGTATAGCTGGACCAATTGTTTCGTTCATATTGAACAGGTATGTTCTTTTGCTCAAGAAGCTCATTATCAGAGAATGGGTATAGTGTGCCTGGAGAGGGGTTATACTCCAGCGAGGCTTAGCCACGTCCCCATTGGCCCAGTAAAGTAGTACTGGGAAATATGTATAGGAAACAAAAGCATCGACGATGCATATGGCGGCCCCCATAAGTCGTTGTATAGGAAATACTGTACGTAGTAAGCCAGTACAATGTGGCGCAGAGGAAGTGGAACGCGCGCTTCATAACAAAAAGGGGTGGATCAACGACGAGAATTTCCTCAAATAGGTTCATAGCCTACGTTGTTCGTATGGGCGGAGTCGGGCCTACTTCTGTGCCTGCTTTATTGGTGCATTCAATGGGGAAAGTACAATGGCAGGCATGGTTTTTTACTTAAATACTGCCTGCAAAACGAGGCCAAGCGATCACGATGAGGGCTCAGGATATTTGTGAGCCGCGAACCCTTCCTTCTTCTTTTCTTCCTCTTTCCTTCTTTTCCTTCCTTTTTTCTCTTTTCCCTGTTCCTTATTTTTCTCCCTTGGAATGTTCGACCAGAACATGCGAAGAAAAAATACTCGTGATTTCTTACAGCGATGGATCATCAAGTTGGCGGAAGCCATGTAATCGGGTACTACTTTGCTAGGACCAGAGGGAGGAGGACTCGTTGTTAAATGACCATTACGGGAGTCCATCCATGATTTAGCCCTACAACCGCACTCATGGCCGTTTGCCACGATACCACCCACTCCTAGTGTGGGCTGTACTTCTAACAAGATAGTTCCAAACGGCGTTTTGCAGTACAGAAGCTGGGACTGACGAAACATCTGAGGGATTGGATGTTGTAGCTCCTGGAGAGAAAAATCTCTTTCACACCTCGATATCGTTGGAACTTGTATCCCATCCACACTTGAATTTACTTTTCCAGATACCTGCGCTTTACGAAAACTCCGGGCCATATCAAGCTTACAAGCTTTTCTCTCAGTTTACTAGGCGGCAAACTTATGTTCAAAGATGTGGGTTGTTACTAGTATTACTGGTCCAATTTTTTCACCACAATCTCAAAAATGTTTTACAGCTTTTGTTTGCGAACGATGACTATTCTCTTCGAATTAACGACGGGTGGATAATATTCTCATATTGGAGTTATGTTCCAGGTCGAAAGGTTAACTTCAAAAGGTCAGTTTGACGTTTGTTCTCAATATTTGCGAGGAATATCTCAAGGGGAAGTACGAGAACAGGGGTACATCGTGGCGAGACATTTTGAGCCACAACTTTTGCTTCAGGCCCAACATAACGTTGGAACTAAACAGTGTTGCCCGCTCATCCAGCTGTTAGAGTGCGTTTCTACTTTGCGTCACCGTTTTGAGCGTCCACGCGTTCTGAGCGTTGGGTAAAGTTTTCAGGGATGAGCGAAATGGCATAGTTTCTTAGCCGCTCAAAATGCTGCGTTAAGTGTGAACGCACTTACACCGTTCTGTTCCTCGGAGTCCAACATCTTCGTGCTCTTTTCGTTAACAATCATAAGATGGAGTAATGCTGAGTATTTCTTTTTTTTGCAGCAATTCGTCGCGGCTTCATCTTTCTCTGAATGGCTTGCAGATCCATATCTATAACAGGGTTCAGCGTTATAAGGAGATTGCCAAGCTGTTTCGTATGGAAAAGATTTTTGGAGATGACGTCGAGGTCAAGAGAGCAGTGCCAATCGACAGGTTCGATCTACCTACTTTTTATTTTTTCTTTTTTCTTGCTCCTCAGGGATTGGCGGAGCAACCGCTGGTGATTTTGTTGATATGTTTTGTTTCCTCTATCTCGATATCTGATGGAAAATTTTAATCTTAGCCGTCAAGCCTATTCATATGGCAGTCCTGGTTTACCTTTCCATTTCTCGTTGAATTCTTATTGATCTGATAGATCGGAGGAGGGGGAGGGGCTTTTGTTACTCCCTCTCCTAGCTTATCCCTCTCGCTGTGTTACTCCAAGACGAAACTTAGGGGGTGACGCCTTTGTAAACGAGGTTGTCAATGCGGCTACGATCAATCTTGACAAGCCTCGAGATTCCCCCAAGTAAACATATTAACAGCTCTTCATTAGCTGTAGAAATGCAGCTGTTCCAGTACCCCCAGAGTTCATTGGTATTGAATTTTTCCCTTTCAGTGCTGCCCCATCTGCTTACTGGGACCGAATCTGGTCCTTAGTGGGTGTGATCAAGCTGGACATTTGGTCTGGTCGTGTGGTAGTCGGAAATCGGCTTCTGCCGTATATGCTAATTGTTTCGATGGAGAATATGAACAGTAAGATTCGTACTACGTGACCCAAGAACTGACTTTGAAATGAACTCTTTCCAGGCAAGGTCCGTCTACGTGAATCGGCGGCTGATCGAGCGCTGCTTTCCGTTGAAGGCCAGGCCGAGAGTGTTCGTGCTTCATTTCTGAAGCATCCTGAGTACAACGGAATGCCCTACAAGGTTCGTCAGTTCTCATGAAGATGCCTTCCCGCAACCTGTGTAACCTATTCTTTGAAGGACCCACCTCGTACAATGGGAGACGGTTTTGCTATCCTACAAAGTGCCCTTCTTCATTTTTTCTACCATCAGGATATCTTAGGTACGAAATCATTCAGTATTTTTCTTCTTTTGCTGGACTTTTTACTACACTGTGAGAGTATAAGTCGCACTAGCAACTTTCGATTGAAGGAAGTTTCGGCGCTGGAGTTAAAAGGGTAACTTGTAATCTCACGCGTTAAAGGCTCTCCGCGTCCATTTGGTGTATAGACGTCGCCCTTTGATAAAGTGCTCCTGTCCATTCGCTTCCGTGACTCTTAAACAGGTAACGGCAACGCCCCGCCCGCTGCCCAATTTTTCATTTTCAGGAGGTTCCTGTCGATCGCCATTAACCCTTTCTATACAGAAGAGGGCGAGTGAGCTGACCAGGGGAGAAATCTGATGCTCCTATGATATCAAAAGTGATAACTCGTCCGACCACTCTTCGCCTTATGTGCATAAGAGCTCGGTTCGAAGTGTATAGAGGGCATCCCAGATGGCTTTTTCCTGCTTTTTCCATCACTACCAAGTCACTTAACACCTTGTCATTAGTATTTGAGCTGCAAGAAATCACCGTTTTTTTAATGCGGGGCTTGCTCTCAAGAGGAAACATGTTCTATATCATTGCCAATGACCCCGAGACACGTCATAATCGGGTTAATTGACGCCAACATGGCGTCATCTATCTCTTGATGGGTAGCACCGCGAACGTGATTTTAATCAGTGCCATAACTTTGATATTCCCTTTTAGGCTATGTGACAGTTGACGAACAGTCCCTAATCACTCAGCGGCCAATTTGGGAGTCTATATGGCGTTTCGATCACAACACAGTAATTTCATATGGCCCATGGGCAGAGCATCAACGAGCCTTGCTTTACAGTTTCTTCTTCCCATCAGACTATCAGGTAGTTTTCATGACATTGTTGGCATCTGTGGTAACTCTGTGCTGTTTTATATCTTGAATACGTTGTTCCTTATGGGGCACTGTTCGGCTTGGGAGGGGCATTGCGCACTTTCGCTTGTTCCTATTGATTACGCGTCAGACCTTGAAGAGACCTGCAGACTTTTGTCAAGTGTAGATGAAGCTCCTGCTATTGCTCAGTGTCACAGGACTTCATATGTCTCTACAGAAGGCTTCTGCAATGAGCGGATGAACGCCAGCGAAAGCTCTACTCCCCACCCCCCCCCCCGGCGGGAGCCAAATCGAACTGGCGCGGCTCGTGTAGCTTGGAAATCCGCTATTATGTCGCGGTTTTCTCATCTTTTTTCAAAAGAGTGATTGGTGCCTCGGGAGGTGGAAAGCTGGGCGAGGGGTGTCCTGACGGCTTCAGTGTTTAGCTAAAGCAGGTGAGGAGACGTAATGCGGACGTAATATGCGGCCCAGCTTGACTTCTGTTCAGTTTTTCAAATCAAATCGCAAATTGGCATTACGCGAGGCAGGGAAATTAAAAAAAGGATAAATTTTCAACTGCCATGTTCGTTTTATAATACACAGAGATCATCAAGTAAGCTGTAATTTGTTGGTTTCTGGTGTGCGCTAACGAGGTTAAAAAGACTGAAAGCTTTTGCTGATTTAGCATAACGTTTCGTAGTGAATCATGGGGGCGTTTCCGGAGGCCGCGGGGAAGGGTTTAGGGTGCGGGGGAGGATCGGGTGACTGGCGGAAGTGCCGTGGCAGAGTGCGGGTCGATGCGGGTGGGTTCTGATCGGTTCAAACGTTTTTAGAGCTAAGGAGGCGATGTTAGACCAAAGGTCAAGAAACAGTTTCATAAAAATTCCACCTATTCGCGTCTAAGGTTTCACACCAGATAAAAACAGATTACAAAGCCTACGAAAGTTAGCGGCAAGATTGCTAGGCACCAGGGGAAAGCTACGAAGTTGGATTAGATCTATATTCTTATCATTACTATTTTAGACTTTAGTACCAGATGAACTCCCTAAACGGGGGAAACGACGGATTCATATTATGCATGATGTGCGTATTTCCCTTTTGAAAGAGACTTCTATTGATGTATGGTTCATGCGTGGAGATCAGCTAGAGAGTGTACATAGTCGCTGTCAGCCAGGAAGCACGATTGATGTAAGTATTTTTAGTTGATGCCTTTTGAATTCTGTTATATTTTCTTCATCCTGGATGTTTAGATGGCTTCCTTTTGTCAAATATAGTTTAATTGTTCGTATCAACTGCATGCCGAGCCTTAAATTTTTTTTACATTTTTCAATATATCCTTCATAATATTCTCGGTTTTCATTATTTCATAGTTATTTTTCTCTCCTACAGTGTGAGAGTGCTTTCCGATCTTCTCTGAAACTGTGGCAGCAAATTCCCCTGGCATGGTGGTTATAAAAGGTGGTGTTTATATTAAAAAGTATTTTATCTACTTTGGGAAGTGTGCAGTATGGTATATGTAGTTGCATGTCGAAATTCATGACCCGTCTTCGTGGGCGATGTTTGTTGAGTTTGGTGGCAGCCCGGTTAGCTCAGTCGGTAGAGCACCAGACTCTTAATCTGGCTGTCGCGGGTTCGAGCCCCGCATCGGGCTTACGTTTTTGCATTGCTTGTATGTATGCGTACACTCATACTAAACACTTTTTTCAAGAAGTTTTGCAACTTTTCGAGTTTTCTTTACTGGGAGGTCAAAATTTGTACAATTAAGTCAGTGCGTTGTTTTTTTATTGTAGATGTCGATATGGTGGATAACGAAGGAAGAAGGATTCAGCTGGAGTATGCATATATCTCTTCTACGACTAGAGAGCACATCCTCCCTACCATATCGGAAGCTTTTGGAGGCAGAAACATTCAGCGTTGATGCCGAGTTCAAGTACCCAAGGGTATGTTTTTTTTTGTTGTTTTGTTTTGAAACGTGATACTTGATTTTCGAAAATTCGCCCAGGTTGGACCTTAGTGTTCGCGTGTTTCTATGGTAGCTCATAAATATTCATTTACACACAGTTCCAGCTCTTTATTTTATCCGTAAATTCCAAGTTTCTGTTCGTTCTAAAAATTTGGAAAAGGGAAGAAAAATTGAAGCGCTATCAAACTATATAGTGCCCCATTCTTCCGGAATCCGGCCTATTTTTTTACCGAATTTTCGACAGAACTACTTGGCTAAAAATTTGTTCTCTGGGAAAGTTCAGCCGTTCATATAGATACAACAGTCGCTTGGCCCGAAACCGCGTGGCGCCTGCGCCGAAATACCCTTAATCACCTAACCCCTAAAAACTTGTCCCTTAGGGTAGCTTGACCTCCTGAACATATAACTCGTCTGCTTGGTGTGCCCGTGGACAGGGTACAGCACCGCGTTTTGTGTAATGGTAGTGTAGGTACGACCTCCCCCTCCTTTCGAGGGCGGGTCCGCCCCCCCCCCTTCCCCAGCACCTACCTACTAATTTCCCCACATTTTCCAGTTTTTCACCCAGAGCCCGCTTCTCGTCAAGGGGGGGCTATGGTGCACAAGAAACAGGAAAAATAACGCGAAAGTCAACAACCGGGAGAAATTTTTTCCCAACGCAGCAAATTTCTCTCAAAGGCACATACGACCGACCCCCCTCTCCCAACGACCAAATACGACCCCCTCCCCAGCGGAAAAGTACGACCCCCTATGTGTTTCACACAACGATGCTGTACAGTGCTTGTGAAGTTAAGCATAAGCTTAAGCAGTAAAGGTGTACAATGTGGCAGCGCACCTGCGATTGTTTGCACCTCCCCCAATACAGTGGCGCTTTCCTCTGCTAAGGCTGTCTGGCCTGAAAGGACTCATCCTCTCTCCGAAGCTCAGCCTTAGCGGAGGGCTAAATTGCGCCAGTGCTAGAAAGGAATGTTCGTGATCAGCACACCCTATAATCCCTTCAGTATAAGAGTTTGCACCGATTATGGTGAGAAAAGTGGTGGTGCCAAATGGCGCCAACGTCAAGAATGAATGCCATACTAGGGGCACAGAATTGTCCGTGTAAGCTAGGGTTCAGCATTTATTTCTGTGATATGATGTAGTGATGTCATTTGGACACTATGAGTTCAATAGTGCCCAGATGGAAAAGCTGCTCTTATTTGACCTTTTCCAGTAATGATACATTTATTAAATTCTCAATGAACCAGTCTTGCTCAGATTTCTTCAGGTCTCTCAATTGCTCCCTTTTCAATGATGTTTGCATGGTTAAAAATTGCTTTTAGGTATTTAATGCTAAACAAACGTGGGATTTCAAGTTTCGTTTAACAAAGTGCTGTTGCTGGCTTGTTTGGGATCATCAACGATTTGTATCGGTGAGCTATAGTACCTCTTTGTTGACAACTTCCAGGGTAGCGTCAATAATCAGGCGACCTAACTAATCAATAATTACTTTTTTCGTTGCAAGCTCAATTGTTCAGGACCTAATAAACGAGTTCTTGGGCGACACTTCAGCTGATCTTGTTACGTTTATACCATATACAGTCAATATCGACTTTGATGTTTCGGATAGTTTTGAGGTGAGAATCCTGTCCCGAATCCCGAATCTTTTCTCCAAGATGGTCATGTCTGAGGCTGATAGTCAGGGTACCTCCTGGAATCTGGGAAAAATAGTTACGAAATACGACTCCCACCCCTCAAAACTTCCTCTTCTGGTACGATTCCACTCAAAGTTTATTCCTCTGATACGACCCGATCCTTGTTCCGCATGCTCCGCCCTGCGTGCAGTCTTCCTAAATTTCCCAATCTTCCAGCATTTTTGCGGAAAATTTCTTCACGTCTCAAAAAGTTCTGTTCGACGGGAACCCGACGTATATGACCCTCCCTCGCTTCAGTGACCCAATACGACCCACCCTAGTTGGGAATGCCTCAA